CTGCTCTTCGTCAAGGGCGCCGTGTGGAAGGCGCTCTTCGGCAAGGAGGCCGACAAGCTGGAGCAGGCCAACGACGACGCGCGCACCTTCTACATCATCGAGCGGGAGCCGCTCATCAACACGTACATCTCGGTGCCCAAGGAAAACAGCACGCTCAACTGCGCCAGCTTCACGGCGGGCATCGTGGAGGCGGTGCTCACGCACAGCGGCTTCCCCGCCAAGGTCACGGCGCACTGGCACAAGGGCACCACGCTCATGATCAAGTTTGAGGAGGCTGTCATCGCCCGAGACCGGGCCCTTGAGGGCCGCTGACCCCGCCGGAAATAAAGGATGAGAGAGCACCCTTCCCAAGTGTGTCTTGTGTGGGTGCATCCCAGACCCACCCAGCAGGACCCAGATCCCTGCCCCAGGCTGAGGCTGTGTATACCAGGGAGGGCCAGGTTGGACCCAGCTTGGGCTTTCAGAGTCGCTGGAGTGGGGAGTTGCTGGTAGTTTCTGGAATCACAATTGGAGGCTAAATATAGGCTGGAGAGGTGTGGGGCAGGGGAAGGATCACGAAGAGATTCCTCTAGGCCAGGCCTAGCACACTTCTTTCACAAAGGCCCGGGTAGTGAACAGTTGGTGCCCAGTAGTAGGTCAGGTATTGGGTATGACTGTGCGCCTAGAAAACAGGCCGATCACTGCTTTAGACTTGCCACTCAAAGTGCGGTCCAGGGACCAGCAGCATCAACAAATCTGGGGAGTTTGTGGGTAATACAGACTCTCAGGCCCAGCCCAGCCCCACTGCCACAGAGTCTGCATGTTAGCAAGACCCCCAGGGGGTTCCTGTGTACCTTAGTTTGAGAAGCAGTGTGCTAGGGCACAGAGTACTTTAAATCCTCCTGAGTTTCAGATCCTGCAGGTTTGGTGGCCAGGAGATTTGCATGTCTAATAAGTTCCCAGGAACCGCTGAGGCACCGTGGGCTCCCCTTTGGGAACTATGGCCCTAGACACCTGGCTCTCATGGGGAAGTAGGTGAGCTCACTTCAGTCATCTGGACGCTTAAAATAGCTTGAAGTTACTTTCTAAAAACGCTATTGGTGCACACACAGCCCTTGTTTTAAAAAATACACCTCAGGCAGCCCTTTCCCTCCTGCCCACTACCGAGACCCTAGTCACTCCTCCCAAGGGAATCATGCCGCTCTTGGGGAACCTCGTTCGAGTGCCCGCTGTCCCTTTGCCTGACGGCACCCGAACAAGTCTGTTTCCAGAGGGACCTCGGTGCGGCCGGCTGGGCCCCTCACTGTGTCCGGAGGGCGGGACCCAGCACCTGCCACGCAGGCAGCAGCATCCCCTCATTTCACAGGCCACAGAGCAGTTCCCAGGAACCCGTCACTCACCACAGTCACGCATTCATTCATTGGACAAATGTTTATTGAGTGCCTGCTATTTGCCAGGTGTTGGGGACGCAGCTGAGAACAAAACAAAGGTACCTGCTCTGAAGGTAGATGCTCATGTTCTAGCCAGCAGAGACATCAGTAAATCCAACATTTCGTTAAAAGAAGGAGTGCCGCGGCGAGAAAGCGCAGTGGGCAGAACATCAGAGTTGGGGTGTCATTTTAAATGAGGGGCAGAGAGTGCTCAGGATAGGTCTCGCTGAGGAGCGTGGGGAGGGGACAGCCGGCCAAGGCCCCGAGGCTGGAGTAAGCCTAGGTGTTTAAGGAGCAGTGAGGAGGCCGGGGTGGTGGGAGGAGAGAGGAGATGAAGTTGGGGAGGTGAGGTGCATGGGAGGGATTCTGTGATGGCCAAGTCCTTTAGGACTTTGGTTTTTCTCCGAGCTAGAAGGAAACGTCTGGAAGGTTTGGGCCAATTCAGGTGGAGCGAGGAGCGGGTGAAAAGTGTGCGGGTTCTGAATATGGCTTCATGGCAGAGCCCATGGCTTTCCTTATGGGTTTGGAGGGAAGGGAAGGCGCGGACGACCCACTGTTGGCCGGAGGGACTGGTAGAGTGGAGCCATGCGTTCCCACACGGAGCATTCTGAGGAGGGGGCTGGGGGAGACCAATCTGGGGGTGGGCAGCAGGCAGAGAGAAAAGGTGATCTGGGACGCCAAGGGTCTAGCTCTGTCCCTTACTCCTGAGCCCAGGATTCCCAGGTGCCAATAGAGTGCCCTCCCCAGGCCCCTGGGTCATGGTTGGACCTCGGTCTGGCCCTTGACTCGCAGGGTCCCAGGTGGTCCAGTGTGGGCACCTGCCATGATGCGTCCTCCTGCTGCAGTGGACCTGAGGGTCACAGGAGGGGGCCTGGCTCTTCTCTAGGCCAGGAAGTGGGGGTGGGGCATTAAGGAGGGATGACCTCAGAGCCTGGCCTGCCTCCCCCCTGCCTTCGGTGCTGGGCTGATGGTGGCCAAGCCTGGGCCTGGCGCTGCCTGGGCCGCTGAGTGGGAGTGGGGCTGGAACCTCTGGACCTGTGCCCATCCGGGAGGGAGCGCCCAGCACTCAGGCTGATGGGCAGGGGTTCTTGAGGGGGGAGCTCTGAGCACTGGAAGGCAGGGAGGCGGTGACAGCAGGTTGGGTTGCGGGACGAGGGACAGGCCCTCTGGGGAGCTGGCAGGAGCCGGGGAAGGGTCACTGTCCTTTGGGCAGGGGATGTCAGCAGGACTCTTCAGCCATGAAAGGGGCGCCCAGGCCTTGGTTGGGGTCTTTAGGGTCCCAGTTTGGCCCTAGCTGTTCCCGTATTTGAGGTGGGGGAGTCACAAGGAGGGGCACATGTGGCGGGTAGGCAGGGGGCTGTCAGGGTCCACGTCTGGGGGACCGAGGCGGCCGGCGGGCAGTCAGCAGGTGGCCAGCCGGTCACATACCCAGCCGTCGAGATAGCTGCTGCAGGAGGCATCGTTCCACTGCCCGGAGCCCAGCAGCATCACGCAGTCCTCGCCCTGGCCCCCGTTGTTGGGCTCCCCCGGCCGCCAGTTGCTGGAGCAGAAGGCTCAGGTTGGCGTCGGGGGAAGGGTGCCACTGCCTTCAGCCTAGACACACCCCTCGGAACCTGGGTCCTCTTACCCCACCCCTGGACCCCACTCCATCTCTGCAGCTCAGAGACACACCTGCCTTCTCTCATCCCGGGTCCCCAGCCCTCCCAGCCTTGACCATCTCCCGCCATTACAGTCCAGAAGCTTCCCCAAGTCTGGGCCTGGGGCACGTGCCTCCAAATACCCTCCCCGCTATCACAGCGATGTCCCCCTCTCCGCATCAGCCTGGGGCCGTCTCCTTTTCGTTCCCCTTCTCACCTGTAGTCCAGGGCGCTCTGGTCCATCCAGACAAACTCTCCCTCTGTGTGCAGGTCCCGGAGGCCGATCCAGGAGCCCTTCTTGTTGCTGTGTGTGGCCAGGAAGTCCTAGGAGCAGGACAGGCTGGAGGGCTGGGGCGCCGAGCGCGGGTCCCTCCGCTACCCAGGAGGCTGTGTCGGGCTCCCCTCCCCTCCCCGACCGCATGCTGGCGGCACCTGCTCCTCCTGGCTGTGGATGCTGACCAGCCGCCCCCGGAGCCCGCTGCAGGCATTCCGCGCCTGGATCCACCGCTTGGCGCCCTCTCCGAAGTAGTAGCACTTCCGCTGGAAACTGACCCACTTCTCAGGGCATGTGTTACACACGGAGCCTGCGAGAGGAGAGACTCAGGGGCAGCTGTGGTGGGCACCACAGGGGGTGTTGTGGCTGGTGCTGTGCTGGGCACTGTGGCAGGCATGGTGGCGGACAGCCTGGTGGGCACCTTGTTGGGTACCCTGGGTGGGTACAGTGGGCAGAGGGGGTGGCAGCATGTCTCCCGGAGTCACTCTTGGGATCCGGGCTGAAAGCAAACACACCCCGAGCCTAACGGAGGGTCTCGCCGGGACCCCGCTTCCCTGGGACTCGGATGCGGACATGCAAGACCAGCCCCAAACAGGAGCACCTCCACTGCCACACCATCGCCACACCTGGCCTCCAAGAGCTGAGCATCGGCCACCGACACAATGGCCATCCGCGTCGCTCGGCCGCCAGCACTTCAGTCATCAGTGACACCCCCGCAGCTGCTCCCCTGCGGCACTCACGCCCCCTCATCGCCACACCGCCAGCTCCACGCGGCAGCGCCCCAGTCACCAGTGTCCCGACCACAAACATTTTCGTGGGCAGAAGCACCTGGTCACCAAACCGTGACTACAAATGCCTCCATAGCCATAGCATCTCATCTGCCAACACCACGTCCCCAAACACCACCACTGTCAGCAACACCTTTAGCACTAGTATCGCCGCGGCAACGTCTATCCAACGCCAACACCATGGCCGACACCGCCTTCACCAACATGAGACCAGCCATGTCTTAACCACCAGTGCTGACGGCAGTGCTGAGGCCAGGCCCCGGCACTGTCCTCACCAGCTGCTCCGATGACAGCCCTGCCACCATCACTGCCAGCACCCCCAAACCAGCCCCTGGCCACTTTCGGGGATATCTTGACTCTCTTCTCATTGGCCAGGAGAGGCTGTGGGAGGGGGAAGGGGCTGAAGGGCTGGGTCCCCATGGTCTCGACCCAAGGCCACCTTGGTCTCTCCCCTTGGCCCCCCAACCCCACCCCAGGACATGCTCAGGCTCTGTCACTGCCACCAGCATTTCCAGGCGGAGGGTTGAACCCACTGTTACTGGGCCCACTCACGCATGATTTTAATCGATTTTCTTCGCGTGACATCTGGGAGGGGTTGTTGTAAGGAGTCTGGGTCCACAGAAGGTTGTGAAACCCTGGGAGGAGCAGAGCTGGGTGTGCGTCTCGCTCACGGAATGGCACCTGGTACGCAGCCCCCTGGGGTGCCTTGCGAAGACGGGAAGAGGACATCTCTGGTCCCTTCAAGAAAAAGCTGGGGAAGGTGTCGTGGCTGTGTGCCACCCAGTCATTGAGAGACAGCCCTGGAGCTGGCGCTCCATCAGAGGTAGCCCTTTGGAGTGAGCGTGGCCCAGGCCCTGCCTAGCCTGCCCGGGGAGCACGGGGGCTTCCTGCTGGAAATCCCACAGCCACACCACGCTCCCGGGGACAGTCCTGCCCATCAAGCACAGATCCTTCCTCTTCTCTCACCCAACTGGGCAGCCGGGGCTTCCCAGAGGTGAAAGACCAAAAGTCGGGGAGGGGGGGGTGGGGGGGGGACTTCAGGTTAAAGGCACAGTGACTGAATAGCCACTCCCCCTGCAGGCGGCTGGCCTGCTGGGGACCCCATGGCCCTGTACCTGCCAGCGTTGCCTCCCTCACGCCACCTCTGGGGCTTATGCTATGATGCTCGTCATCCCCACTGCGGCCACGGTGACCCTGCCACAGCCCTCGGGGGGGCCAGACCATCTTCTGGGGGGCTGTGGCTGAGGGCATCTACTCATGACCCTCTGCTGAGCCACGGTGGACAGAGGGCTGGTCAGTGAAGAGAACCTGGTGCTGCTTTAACCGGGAGGAAAACATGTGGGCCCCCACCGTCAGGTTGGTGGAGGGGTGCAGCCGGACTCAGCACGGGCTTCCTCGTGTGCCCTCCGTTGGCCCTGCCACACACATACACACATACCCCTCCACGTTGTCACTCACACACCGGCCCTCACATTCACGCACCACCACACACCTGTGCTGTCACATGACTGTATCAGCGCACCTGTGGGCACAGGCGCGCACACTCACCGTTGGACACGCGGAGCTCTATCCACAGCTTTGCCACCTCCTCCTGGAGTCTTTCCAACGAATTCAAGGCCGAGCGTCTCTCATTTAAGCCTTGGGTGGTTGGACGGGGCAGCGGTCACAGACACACTTGTGGGCCTCTCCTGCCCCCCCCC